TATTTACGGATGCTTCAAACGAGATGAAACGAAGAGATGCTAGTTACTAGCTCACACGTGCCACATTTTTGTTGATTATTCACGCTCGAACACATTTAAACAAAGTGGTGGATCAAAACTGATAAGTAAACACCACCACTCTAAAGGCAAAAATAGTTCTTGTGGGGAAATCCACTACAATACTTGAGAAGCTCCAATCGATTGAAGTGCAGATGCAATCGACACCTCTATTTTGCCCATGGTTCCATCAAGCCCATACTCGTTCTCCTCTCAGTGAGCACGCGATTGCTTCTTGATTACTAACTAAAGGTTGTAAAATAGATCGTCTTAGGCCTTTCAAGAGTTCTGGTATGGTGACCTCTCGAGTGAGGTGATGCACGTTTCAATTTACTCGCTGGCCTCATCAGTACCACTTTCCACTTGACGTGGAGTGATACATGTTCGGCGCCACTACACTAATTGTAGAGATGGAGCGAAAGACATGTGGTAATGATTAAGCTTAAGAAGCCGAAACGTGCGTCTACCACTCGAGATGCCATACCAGACCTCTTGACAAACCTAAGTCATTCTATCGGACTACACTGAGTTTTTACCGGCTGACTTCCGTGGACCCAGAGGCGTGCCCAACGACTGAACCTTCTCTGCCGTGACTGGGCGCCGGCTACTACAGCTACCTTTCGTTACAGGACGCGCAGCTAAGTTTTGAAATGAATCGCGCGCGATCTTCGTCGGCATGTAGCGGCTTGGAGAACATTTGAGAGCATCGAGGATGTAGTGAAGAGGACAAAGAACATCGGATGCTTGCCCAAATTTTCGAATCGACAATGATCCTTGTCCTAACGAATGCACCAGTAACCTGCTCGCAACGTGAGCAAATGAAAGATCACTTGGCGTTATTGAACGCGCACTCGAAAGGTCGATGCTAGGAGTATTCCGTATCTCGCAAATGAGAGGAAGGATCCGAAGTTGCGACCTACGTCAAAGGTCGAGGATCAAAGACACAGTTCTACACGCCAGGATATTGAAAATAAGGTGGGTCGCACATGTGATGCGCTTAACGATAACCGATGGACAAGAGCCGTTATCGACTGGCTTTCTCGGAATATCGAGCGTTCTACAGGAAGACCACTGACCCGGTGGTCCGATTTCTTCATAAAAAGGCTAGAAAAAAGATATGATGTTTATCGAATCCGAAGAGCGAGGATGACCACTGGGCTACACTAGCACGCGATAGGGAATAATGAGAGTGATGCTGCTGCCTGCTTAAGTCACTCGCAGATCAACGAGACGAATGGTGATACAGGTGTGTGCGCAGGTGTGGTTTCAACTTCATGAAACAGCAGTCGAGACGCCGTCGAAGGTCGCACGCGAATCATTCCAAGACTCAGCTGCGGGTCCTGCAACGAAAAGTAGCTGTATTAGACGTTCAACCGGGAGATAGAAGGCGGAGTTGCTGCACACGCTTCTGAGTCCACAGAAGCCAACCCGTCAGGTGAGGTCTCAAAATAATCGATAGGAAGGTGAAAGTAGGTTGTTACACTCAGAAATTCCACACCTGCGCCTTTCCATAGATGGCAAAACTTTTTGCTAAGGTTCTCCATATGTTCTGGAGATGTGAAAGACATATGGTTTATTTACGACTCATGTCAATACCTAAGCAAATGCGTCGGCGGCGACACCTTTCTACTGGGAGACATGTCCCATTGGGGCTATGTGAACATCTCGTGAACCCCCCTCCCCCCCTGCTTTCCCTTATCCCTTCTCCAAAGTGATAAGATCAACGAGAAATATGCGATAAACGAAAATACGAGCAAATTGATGTTGTATGGATTGTAGCGTACGTCTATGTTGTAACAATGGCCATTTTAAACATGGATGATTTTGCAATACTTACGCGTCAGGCGGGACTAGAACCAGCACCGCACTTTGTCCGAGAGCGGGTGCTCTATCCGTTACACTAGTGACGCCCATTTTGCACACCACTCCTTCGCTGCAGCGCATTTATCGCCCAGTCACCAGCCGTCAACGGATTGGCTCTAATAGTCGATACCAACATTGAAACCAGTCACGCTGCAGATAGTGGGTATCAAAGATCGAACGAATTCTATTTATTTAACCACTTCTGTAGCGATGATGTACAAAATGGGCTTCAGTAGCTAGACGGATAGAGCAAGCGCTTTGGGACAGAGTGCGGTGCGGGTTCTAGCCTCGGTTGACGCGAACGTTTTGCACATCGCTCTATATCAAACATCACACCATCACTAGAAGCGGCTAATTAAAAGGAATTTCAATGAACGATTTTTCTTAAAAGAAATCAAAAATGTTTCGAGAGAACATCATGAACTGACACTTGTGCTATCCGTCCATCTAAAGGACTTACTGTAGTGGAATTGATCGAATAGAGCAAAAATTTGCCTTTGGTACAGTTTTTCACATAATGAATCTGTTGACGGTTCATTTTATAAGAGATTCGTGAACATTCCTTTTTTTTTATTCGTTATCACGGACGGGGGAGGGTGATGGCCAAGTGGTTGTGATGTTCGTTGCAGCGCGTGTGGGGGCCGAACCTCAGCCCCAAACACTCTCCGTCAGTCAAAAACGAACGTCCGATGAAACGCCACAGCCAGGCTAACTTTGGGATTGCAGGGAGACAGGCCCAATCACTACTTTAAGACGGTGAAGTAGAAAATGAAAAGGCGATTGAATGCTATAAGTACTGGGATTCGCAGAGTGAGGAAAAAACACCGCAAAGATGGATAGTTGAGCGTTGTTATCATGGACATTGCAAGAGTTCGCTGATTTCTGCTAATCAAATAGAATCCGCATCTCAATGTTCTGGTGCATTTCAAACAAAATGTTATTATCCTACAGTTCTAGCTGACTCTCTTTCGTTCAGCTTATGCTTTTATACATCATCTGATTTAAAATTAGCAAAAAGGACAAGGATATAGCTCTCGGCGTGGATGGCTTGCTGAGAGATGCGCCCTGCAATCGTCTCCAATCTCTACCTTTGTTTGAGGTGATTGAATGCGTATTTTTCTTTTCCAACGACTCGCCGTCGCCTCCAGCTAAATCGAGTCAGTGCTGCTTATCCTCACAAACAAGTCTGAGACCAGTTTGCACCAATATGTCGACGCCGGAGGGATAGATGGCTTGATGAGCCAATTCATCCTATAAGAAGTCAGTGAAACCAGAGAGATGCCAGAACTTAAAGCGGTTGGTCTTGAGGCGAGAAACAGTTCACCGTATTAGTTTTCAAGGTTCTTTCTGATTAGGAGGGAGCGAATGAAAAACCGATCTCATTTGCTGAAGAGGAACTTCTCATTAGAGTGTTGGTAACCATTCGAAAGCCAAGACTGGAGGCTACATCCCCACGTCGCCGATTGTACTAAACACTCTTTTATGGCGCTTTAGCATCCAGATCAAAAATTATGTATCACACTCCCCTTTCGCCTTCATTTTTGTTACGCCTATCACTCGTAAGAAGCCTAAAACATATCAAAGTGTAGAGAAATTCACGCAGTATCCGTTTCAATCGCTCTATCTGATGTTTCTATCAAAGCGTAGAAAAATTAACATTTCTATTTTTAGAAAAAAAGCACATTGCTAGAATCAGGAGACATTACGCTCTCAGATGATTACTATTGGCCTAAAGAAAGAGCTGTGTCCAACGAGGTTTAGAGCAGAAATCAAAGGACCAGAGGAGATCGAACGATTAAAAAAAGCTCTTCAGAAGGCAAACACATGTTTGAGTTTCTTGAGGCTTGTGCTATAGCTGAAGTACCATTTCTCTAAGAAAGGAGTTCCGTCCAGCGAAATATATTCGAGATAAGAGAAAAAACAAGTGGCTTCAAAAAACAAGATTTTATTTTGAGTGTCAAGCCGCAATAAAGAGGTGTATTGAAGACCCGCATCGTGCGGCGTAGCCTCAAGTCTCAGCTTGCAAATGGTTACTAACATTCCTGTGAAAAAGTCATCTCCAACGAACGAGATCGATTTTCCATTTGTTCCCTCTTAATCAGAAAGAATCTCTTCAATCGACTATTTTGAGAGGTCTCTCAAAAATTCGATGTAGTCCCATAGAATGTTTTGAGTTTTTCGTAAGCCCTTTCGAAACCGCGTTGATGCTCTGCACGACACGCGGGAGGATCTCGCGGCGAGCATAGCGGGTTACAATGAAGATACAATGGTTTTCTGATGGAAGTTGTATTTTTATTGCTACTAAAAAGGATTTAGTCGTCGCTAGATGGCGGAATATGGTAGGGGAGACTGCAAAACTACGACTTTTTTCGATAAAACATCATTCCAAAATAATCATAAAATGATGAATTGTTCGTCAAAAATTGTGCTGTACATTACAGTGTGATGCCATATCGGTGATAATTTGAAGATACTTTTTTGCATAATTGGGTAGAAAAGGTTTATTTTATCGTCCTATGACTGATAACTTTTTATAAACCCACATATGCTCTATTAAAAATCTTATTTCATTGTTACAACCTAGAAAAATGCTAATGTTTTCTAAAGCGATATATTTTTCAAAGGAACCAGTTCTTTACGAAAAGCTCATATTTCATACTATAGTTTTCTATACTTCACTTATATTCATTTCTATTACTCGACATTAATAGTATTTTTTCAATGCATTTCGCATTGTTATGATGTTTTCTATATAACTAAGAAAATTGAGTGGTGAGCAAAAACGCGGCCTCAGGCGGGAATCGAACCCACGTTTCATCCTATCCGGGGACTCGTGCTCTACCACTACACCACTCAGACACATTTGCCCGACCACTCATTCTTCAACATCTCAATGTTAGCTATCAGTCACCAACCTTTGACAGGATTGGTCGGGTATGCGATTTCGCTTTATAAACCCAGTTGAGCTGACAGCTATTATGATTACTAATACTCGACATTAGTAGTATTTTTTCAATGCATTTCGCATTGTTATGATGTTTTCTATATAACTTAGAGAAATGAGTGGTGAGCAAAAACGCGGCCTCAGGCGGGAATTGAACCCACGTTTCATCCTATCCGGGGACTCGTGCTCTACCACTACACCACTCAGACACATTTGCCCGACCACTCATTCTTCAACATCTTAATGTTAGCTATCAGCCAGGATGAAACGTGAGTTCGATTCCCGCCTGATGCCGCGTTTTTGCTCACCACTCAGTTCTCTGAGTTTTATTCATTTCTATTTCAAGGGCAGTTCACCTTTACTCGTGCTACAAATAGTCATCAAATAATAAAAATTCAGCAAAATCGTCAGTCAATGAATTATATTCTGAAAACATATTTTGAGCCTTTCATGAGGTCTGTTATGTCACTTCTATAGTGCAAGGCACATGTTTCCGCCTTTCAGCTTCATCAGTTACACGGTGCCTTTCATTTCAGCCAATCCTTTGCAGGGGAGATTCCACACATACATGAAGAAATCGACGACGATTAATCACACTGCCTGAAAGACTCAAAATAAGTTATTAGTTTATATTGTCATGAACAAGGTTTTCAAAGCAGTCGTAAGGAAGAATTAACAATACATAATATCATTTCTACTTTCGAAATCAGTCATCATGACGTAGAGTTTCAGTTTCGACATGAACTCATTCCGCGCACTACGGCAAAGTCATCATTGAAAAAAAAAGAATTAAACCTGTGGACGTAGTAATGGTTTATGTATGCCACATTCTTCTCTACTATTAGCAGTGATTTTTTACATGATTATTCACGTTCATACACATTCGTTGAATGGGTGGGTCGAAACTGGCATGTAAACCCCGCCAGTCTAAAGTCGACGATAACGTGCGAAATCAAGGAGAACACCACGAGCAAAATGAGGGATTAAGACAGGTTACGAAATCGCTGAAGTCTGCATGAAAACACATTGATAGCAGAAAGATTCACCAATTTGAGGACATAGCAAAGTCTGAAGTCAGTAAGGTTGAAACACGACGGGTTCTGCTCGACTGACGAGTCTGTTAGGACGAAAGACGTGTATCGGGCTGTACAAGAGCCCTTACCAGACCACATGACATGTTGGTTCAAATAACAATAAGGAGATCTATTGAAATTTGAGCGTAGTCTTAAGAAAACACTTGAAATAAAGGTATGATATAGCAATGTCACAAGCGAAATAGGCGTGTGATCAAAAAGTCTAGGAATCTTTGGATGAAAAGAATAAATGATAGAGTTTTCGCCGTCAATCAATCCCTGAGGGATGCGCCATGCATCCACCTTCAATTTTTAGCACGTTTGAGGTGATTGAATGCATATCTGCCTTTTATAATGACTCTTGATAGCCTGCCAATGTATCGAGTCAACGTTACTTATCATCCGAGACAAGCCCGCTAGCATTTCATAAACGCCGGAGAAATGGATGGCCTGGCAGGCCAGGAGCGTGGATCGAATCCATTGACCCTGTGTGCGAGGCAAAACACCACTAACCACTGCGTCACATGCGCTTCTAGATATCATCACCATGATTGAAAATTGCAGGACAGTGGATAGTTTACTAAAAATAATGGAGTACACTGCTTGCGATACCATTTCATAGATAACTGTCTTCAAATTTTTCATTGTCAGTGAACTTCAGAAGTTGGCGCCTTTACAGAAACATAGAACAAATTTTGTTCTATCCTTTCAAGCCTGAAAATTTTTTATTATCTCGTATATTGCACTTTGAACATCATTGATCAACACGGTTCTTGTCACTGTATTACACCTATTTGGGTGTTCTAGGCTTTTCTTTCCCAAATATGGAGCTTTCTTATTGAAAAGTGGGAATTTTCAGAATAACTGAACGTCTTCTTCACAAAAAAATGATTACTTAAAACCATCCAGTAATATTCAATCTCTCGTAGGAACAAAGTTCTCTTTAGTCAAAGATTTGCTATGTAATACCAAAAAATCACTTCTGTCGGAACAACGCATATGAAAGCAAAACGTTATTAATTTCTTGTCAGCAGAACATACTGTGAGAATCTCTTTACAAGCCTGTCTCAGTTCTGAATTTCCAGTTTTCAGACTGTTGAGTGATTACTAATAGTCTAGTGAGAAAGCCCCTTTACGGGAAGAAATCACGTAAACACGTGCACATTCCATACACTTTGTAATGATTAGCGTGATTTTTGGGACATCGGAGTGTAGTGAAATGTCACCTAATAATTGTAAATATGCTTCTTTTCGGAAAGTGTGATAAAGGAATTTTCCTGTTTATACATAAGAGGAAATTCGACACGTGAGCACTCTTTACACTCAGAAACCTTTATTCAATATATTTATAGTTTCTCTTGTGACAATCTATCGTTTATGGAGTGGTGTCAAAACAGACGTTGGTAGTGTAATTGTTTGAGCACGCGCCCCTGGGAAGGACGTAATTTTGGTTCGAGTTACGCCTGTAGTTCAAAATTTGCACATCGCTCAGCATTATTGCGCATCATGTCTGCAACATCATAACACCTCTAAAATCGACTGAATGAAAGGATTATTATTGAATGCATCATGTACTAGTGATAATGTCCTCTTAAAACCTAAATTTAGCAGATATCATTTCGCATTTCATTGGTGGTTGTGCAAGTATAAGATTCCTGTCTCACACAAAGCGCGACGTGACGAATCGTGGTATACATTCATATATCATGGAGTTTTCATCGGGTTTATGCACTGTTGACTTTAGCATCTCTGCTGTTTTAAGTAAAATACATACTATTCAGAGAAGCACATGGTACCATATTGAGCATATCAAGTTCGGAAGCAGCGTGGGCCTCTTCCGAAGTGTTTTCTGGTGCTGTAAACTTGATGAAGTACATTGTTGCGGTAGAGCAGGTCCTGTCGTTGGCTCTGCAGTTCAGTCCTCCCAAAACAGAACTCGCAAGGATTCGCTATTTCCCTCTACCCACTAGTAATGAAATAACGTCTGTCCTATTTGAATGTTACGGAAGTGATTCGAATCAGCTTGTGAATCCCCCCGAAACAGTCACTGCTACTACTGTGTAAGTGTAAAATAGAGCATTTCTCAGCGGCTACCCACCACAACATCTGTTCGATCGATGGCAAGAGGAGTGGAAAAGGGTTGTCGTAAGAAATAAATTATCACCAAAAATAATTATTACATCTCATATCGTCCACGTGGAACTAAACATATGATCGGTTATAATACACACCATCCACTATGTGTCAGTTTGTGCGATAATGTGTCAGTAAGTCACTTTTCTTCATGTTCAACAGGTTTTCTCTTACTCTATACTTTTCTCCACTTTATATCCTCTATCCTCTTCACTGTGCGAATCCAAGTTCTTCGAGCACTCAGTCGTTTCTCGCCTTCTTCGTGAACGTCTTGAAATAGTGGTTGAGCGCACCTTTTTGCAATCTCGAGAATGGCCTAGTTACATGGTTTCCTAGGTCGCTTGCCGGAGAGCGTTGAAAGTGGAGTTCGGTCGCAAGCGCGCCGCGACAAGCAGCACAACCACTTAGTCACGACTCCCACTTTACTCTATTCTCACTTCATTTATCCAAATGACGAACGTCACAGACTTCTTATTATTTATTTACATTTTTTTACATGACCCCTCATCACACGTCGTATATAGATCTTGATAACTTTTGCATCCGATTTCTTTCCTCGCATTATCTTCTCAATGGTCCTCGACCATTTGCTTGCTGCTTCGACTGCTGCTGTAGTATATTGTCTTGTTTAGAATGTCGTCAAATGCTCATCAAGTTGAATCTCCTTGCAGTCTTAGAGACGGCCGAGCTGAGTCGTTACCAGGTGAATTTGAAAACTGTTGAAAGGAGTCAATTTAGGTTACTGACCACTTCCCCATGCCATCCACCTTCGAGCTCAATGTGTGGTTATCATTTTTCCTCACCCCTTCATTGATTGCAGAATAAAACGACTTAGTGTTGGGTTGGGGGGCGCCGTGGCCAAGTGGTTGTGGTGCTTGTCGCAGCGCAGGGACCGCCCTAACATTTTCCGGGAGTAAACTGCGAGCGCCTAATGGAACGCCGCGGCCAGGCTATCCTCGAGATTGCAAGCATATGAGTTTTACTAATATTCTGGCACGTTCGAGAAAACGAAAAAAACGAATTGAATGCTAGAAGTTTTGAGATTTGAGCAGCGAAGAAAAAATACTGTAAAGACAGACTGGATAAAAATCATGAAAAAGAGTGTGGTGGGTTCTATTTGGAAAGTTTATGGGTAGAATTGTGATGCACTAACACTGGTAGGGCACGTATCTTTAAGAAAACAGTAGAAAAAGCGACTGGGACGAGTGACGCCACTAAGCATTTAGCTATAGACAGCACCGGCTGCAGCAGTGGTATACCCAACTCGAGAAATAGAATGATTCAAGTTTGACGTCTCAGTTTAAGGACCAATATATTGCAATACATTTTGAATGGATATTCAAACCAAACAACATATTTTGTTGTAGTAGAGAAGTTATTCACTCTGTGACTGAGGTCTGGTAACTATGTTCTCCATAATCTCAACATATTTTAAGCCTATCATGAGGCCTTATATGGCACTTATACAGTTCTATACACGTGTTTCGCCATTACAGCATCATCAGTAGCACGGTCTCTTTCAGTTCAGCCAATCTTTTGCAGGTGATATACCCCTACTATAAAAGGATCGACACCGAATCATCTGTTATTATAGACTTCGTTCAAAGCAATTTGCAATCTCATAACATATCTTGAACCTGTCATAAGGTCTGATATGGTACTTATACCGGGAAGATCATATCACCTACCTAAAAGGCATTGAAATGATATAATCCGGCGTCGATTCCTTTATATGCAGTGGGTATGTCTCCCTGTAAGAGAATGGCTGAACCGAACGGCACCCGCGTTACTGATGAAGCTGTAATGCCGAAGCACGTGTCTAGCACTGTACAAGTGCCATATAAGCTTTCATTATAGGCTCAAGATATGCTTATGAGATCACATATTGCTTTGAGCGAGGTTTAAAAAGCACGAATGTAAGGGTATGCTGTCCATGTTTTCTTTCATTCACTTGATCCATTTTATAGTTTCTTTTCTTTTCTATTCACTGCGTGGATCCACTG